TGTGTTACACATTGCAACCATGGTGAAGGCCAATTACAACTTTGAAAGTTTTCGACTTAACGCCTTTTACTCGTACGCAGTACCTGCTCTCAGTAATGACTCGATGACTTCTAGCATCGATCCAACATGTTTGCAGACACGGCCGTGTCTTGATGCTCACGGGATCGGATTATAGGCTTTCTCAAAGTTAGCAAACAGCATAGATGAGCCCGCATGTGAGAACTCCCATGATTTGTCAACAATCTGACATAAGGCAATGGTGTGGGCAGAGGTTCGGCCGAACCTGAAGCCATATTCCACCTCTTCTATCTTCGAGTCAGTTACCATGCAGCGCTTCCCTTCTAATACCTCTAGGCAAACATCTTCCTGGAGTCTTAGTAACGCAACTCTACGGTACTTGGAGCAGCCCTTATGGTCTTCCTTCTTCAGCTAGGGTAGTACGACCACCGCGGTCTCCACTCCACCGGCAAATTGCCGGTAGGTTTTGCCGTTTCATTGGCACATGCCAGCGACGACAAAATTTACTCGCCTACAGTTGAAAATATCTTATAGAGGATTTCATCGAATCTTAAAGTCTTGCAACGTTTCAAGCTTCTACAGCTTCGGTGACTACATCGACTGAAATACTAATATCCATTGCATGCTGCTCTTCAGGCAAATCTTTCTACAGTTGCTCGGTTTTAAAGAGTAGCTCAAGTACTTGGGCCTTCGTCGAAGAAGATATTTTTTCTTGATAAGAAAGCGTCTGCGCATGTATTTTTGAAATTTCAAAATAGCCTTCTTTCCATTTTGAAGGCTGCAGATAATCTGCAACCATACTTTGTTTTCAGTCCTTAAATTCGACTTATGCAATACACCCACACTTTTGCCACTGCTTTCTTTGCGATCTAGAACCTCTTTTCGTACTGAATGTAAGTTGAAGGGTATTTGCTTTCAATCCACTTTCAGTTCACTGAATGCAGCCTTCCTCTCTCATAAATGCAACTGAAACTCTGCCAAGATCATAAGTCGTTTCTGATCCTCAGGCAGAATAATAATTCGTTTTAAACAGCGTCATTTAGCGGTAGCCCTGAGTAAAACGATCTCAAAGCTATTCCACTGGGTTTACACCTCAGCCATTGTGACTGATGTTTATTGAAACAGTCGTGCTTTGTTGCCTCCTGGCTTCCGTTTGATATTGGAAGAAGCTAGTATTTAGAACATCAACATCTTCATCTTCAATAGTCACTTCTCCTTTCGGGTCGCATTGGCAGACGCGTCAGAGAGTAGCTTAAACTTTCCCGATCTAGCGCCAAACTCTGACCTGCGACAGAAGACAACCGGAATCTAAAGCATACTCCTTTCATATATTTGCATCAAGTTAATCTTGGCTGTCCCTTACACCTTTTGCCGGTCGGCAGTGCAAAAAAAATTGTTGCTTTATCTTCCTCTTCCATCGCCGCTTCTCCTTTAAGGTCGCGGAAACAGACGAGTCAGACAGAGCTTCCAACGTTCCCGATCGTGTGCCAGAGTCTCAGCCTCTGCAAAGGGCAACCGGAGTCTGGAACAGACTGCTTCCATATATTTGAACTAGACTAATCTTGACCGTCCCCTGGGCCTTCTGTCCGTCGGATTCGCGAGTAGCAGTTGCTTGGCCTTCCTTTCTGAAGGCATTCACAATGCATGGCCAAGCCATCGCAGCTGTGACTTCTCAATCTAGAGAAGAAACGCTGTATACCAAGGCTCTACCGGATGTCAGTACTCCGAAAAATGTCGAGACGCGTAAAGCCAGCGACTCGTCCAAGAAAGCCCATTTTACTAGCTTGTACCTGGGCTCGAAGCTTTTCAGTTGTGGTGCAAGACTCATGACCGTAAGTAGGCATAGGGATAAAGATCGACTTGAACATCGAGAGCTTAATTTTCAGACTGAGCTCTGTTTTGGTCACAGTGGATCGGGCTGGTTCACGCTGAATGCCACTGGCTACTCCAATCCGCTGATCGATTACTTCTCAAATTTCCCATCACTAGTAAATACAATTCTGAGGTACTTGAACTTTTCTACCTTCTCCACTAATTCTCTGTTAATCTGAAGAAAGCAACGGGCAGGAGAACGAGAAAGAACTATGTATTTCGTTTTAGATGCGTTCACACGCATGCCTGTCACGCGCACTCGGCTACGAACTTTCCCAAGGAGCATTCTAGATCAGTTTCAGAAGAAGCCAATAAAACAAGGTCATGTGCGAACAGCAACCTTCTCGACTTTACATCTCATACACTGATACCCTCATCGCCTTGGCAGCTCCTGACTATTCTATCCATTTCAATTTTTAATTCAGTTTAAATTTCAATTTGCAGAATCATTGGGATATTATAGTTGTGTTATTCCGTAATCTTAAATGTTGATACTTTCTAAGGCGAATTCTTGTTATATGTAACTATTGTACCTGTTAGTCAACCGAATGTTAAGGATTTCGTAACCGTTGTGGGGCTAGGTGTGAGAAGAAGCGTCTGCGATGTACAACGGAGTTGGTTTAACAACCCCAAGGGGTTCTGGAACAAATGGATTCGTGCAGCGAAATCTGGCGTTTATCAGCGTATCCCGCGAAAAGCCGCAATATCGCACGGAGGAAGACATAAAGCGCCTTGACGAAGAACTTAATCGACCGCCAAATAAAGAAATTTTGGAGCATGAAAAGAAACGAAAGATCGAGCTCAAATGTATGGAACTGAGAGACCTGATGGAGCAACAAGAGTAAGGGTGTTTTCCATTGATTTTAAGTTCGGATATTTGTTTGTAAGAAAGCGTAATTAGAATATTCTTTTGAAAAATTAGTTGCATCCTAATTTCAGTTTTCGCTTTTACCGAGTAAATATTCATTTATTCTTATCTTCATGGTAGCGAAATCGAGTCTCTTCCCCTTCGGATTTCATGCTTTCTGGAGAAATCCTTCATTTTCTTCACAGAGTTTCTATTTAACAGGTTGTAAATGGCATTTCCGTCTAACCATTCTACTAAAGTAGACTTCTGTGTTAAACCTTGATATATTTTATCTTCAGCGTTGGAATCAGATCTTAGTAATTGTATTTCTTTCCAGTACCGGGTAGACTAGAATTGTAGTAACAACAAAAATTACTCTTCTACATTTTTCAGAAATGATAACGTTGAAGACGTGTTATAAACTCACAGTCGTTAATCTAAATATGGTCAGTTGGAACATCGCTTAGCTTGAGATGTGTTAAAGTAAGTATCAGATTATGTGATGAAGTAGATTGTGATTAACCATTTGGTTATTAGCTTGTTTACAAAGGGGACTCGCTTCAGTGCATTTCATAATAGATCGTGAATACTGGAGAGCTTTCTGTCTCTGTTTTATTGTATTATCATTAAGTGTCAGTTCATGTCTTTTGGAACTGTACATTGAATGGACATCATTAGTTCTGTTTTTCTATCTACTGCATCCAAAAAGAGTATTTGCTGAGACTATGTAAGATTCTGTACAAGTGGAAATCTAATCATCATGATATAGGCATTTGGTAAAGGTTATAATATTTTAATGAACGTTAAACTTGGTTTTGAACTTTCTTGTTGCTATAATTGTGCGTCTATGATCTGGAAAAGATTTCGGTATTTTAGGGTCGTTCTCAACGGCATGTTTCAAACAGGTAAAATTCAGAGTTATTACTGATTGTTGTATTGTTGTTACTTATAATTTCACATATTTTGTATTAAATAACGACTCCTCTAGGGCCAGATTTTACGAAGTGTTGCACCGTCCCTTTGCTCTTAGTTGCCAATGGGACCATTTAAGCAGACACAGTTGCATTTTATTTGAGCGCCAGATGCATCTCGCGTCATTTTATCCGCTGGAGCCTCCTTGCTCCCACCATGAACTGTTTTTTCATGAGCTGGCTTTTTTTATATGCTACGACATAGACATGATAAGATGTTCGAGTAGGTGAAGTAATGAATGATCCTTGTAAGACTGGAGAAGTTGCACATCTTTCCCTTAGGCATTTAGGAAGCAAGAAGACTGCAGTACGCAGCGAAACGTACGTCGTTCGTTGTTTGTCATACTTGGACGTACGAACAGCTGATGATGATTATCTTTTGTATTGCTTTAAGACCATAGCTGATTTATTCTGTTTGTACCATTTTGTATATTACAAAATGCTTCATTAAAATATGCAACAATTTTTAAGCATTTTTAAGTTTTCCCAACCCTGTCTTGTGAAATGGATGCAGTGGTAGTTATTCTGCCATAGCAATAATTCTTAGTTACATTGCACTATTATTGATTTTGTTAGATAGGGTGTACGAGAAATTTTTACCAGCACTGCACCAGTAAGATGCGAAGCAAAATCCATGCGTTACACTTAGTTCATTGCGCCCACTTTAGATTATTTGTATCTGTGGTAGATAATCTTCACTTTGTTTTTATCTTGAGGTTAGTGTAGTTTGCAGACTTCAAAGAGGTCCTCATTTAATAAAATCGTAGAAAGTCCTTTTATGGTAATAATGAATGAAATATGACAACTAGGGATTTGTAGAGACATGAAGACACTAAATCTTGTACGTTATTTGTCCCATTCTTCGAAACAACGAATTAATGTGACAGAATCCTTTTAAATTAGTTTTGTTGAGTAAAAATTAGTTTCTTTTTTTATCGCATGTCCATTCTTGCCGGTTCTCTAAATTGGGAGAACTGCGTGATCTGACAACGATGACATCTTCGTCCACATTAGTTTAGATCAGTTCCGTGAAAGCTTTCTGACAACTTGATAACATGTGAGAGAAGTTGAGGAATATATGACAATTGGACAAAATGAAAAAATATTAATTTAAATTATGTGGGATTTAAAAGAAGCTAGACACCAAAAATTAATATCTCGAGGAGCGATCCCAAAATTTGTGTTTATTGTTAATTTTTTAAGGTAACAGAAACAGTGTATAGAGAGTATATTTAAATTTTCTGATCGCCCAGTGCTGCTTTGTTACTTCAGACTGACAGATAAAAATTTAATGCGCTATAGCAAATCTTCGACAGTGGCATGCTTTTCGACGGAATGTGAACACATTCTTCATTAGATGGAAAAGTACACTAACGTCGATGTGTGTGGAAAGCACAAAACGAGGAAGGAACGTTGCATGATTACCCGAAGGAAGCAGACGGTTGTTTGATGCTGGTCGTCACTATCGGCTGACGTTTATTTCATCAGCAGAACATCTACCTTTAAAATGATCGCGAAGATTCTAACCGGTAGTTTAACAAGCGTCAACGGCATAGCTGTCGTCTCCATCGACTTGAGTTTGCTCACAGTGCTGCGGATGTACAGAACCGTTCGCAAGATTTTCGCGTACCTGATTATTACAGTTATCACAGCACTGATGATGCTTGAAGCAATTTTATCGTAGACTTATCAAGCTCTGACTAGACTCTTATGCGTGATAGTGAAGTTGCTGACGGCCGTCGCTGCGAAAAACAGCCCTGATGTGAGGAAAATCGATCTTACTCTGTAAGATATGTTAAGATACTTGTTATTTTCTCTGTACTTAATGAAATACCTGTAGGTTCTGTCTTGCCAGAATTGACTGTACTTCTGTGGCAGAATCGTCTCCAGTTGTTTCTTGCTAGGAAAGTGGTTTGAGCATTTGTTTGAATGGTCTGGGTGGTGTAGAACAGTTTTCTGTAGACAGTAGACATATTGATAAAGTTTCTAAGGTTAATTTATTTAGTAATACAATTCAGCCTGCTGGGTTGCTCAGTTGTACAGGAATAAGATTAAACCAGTTCTTGAAACACTTGTCATGCTGTTTGTTTTATCATTGTTATTATTAGCTGCTTTGCAAAACTGTCGGCTGCTTGAGATATTTTTGATGCGATTAATTAAACACTTCGCATTTTCGGATTAGGAGGAGTTTATTATGACGAAAAAAGGAAGGTTCCTCTTCTACTACAACATTCCTTGTTCTGTTTGAAGAGCTAGCAAGCCGTAATATATCGCCTTTCGTGCGAAAGTATGAGATAATTAAAAAGCCTTCATCTTCTTCATCTTCCATGGTCGCTTCTCTTTTCTGGTCGCGGATACAGACGCGTCAGACAGAGCTTCCAACGGTTCCGATCCAGTGCCAGAGTCTGAGCTTCGGCAGAAGACAACTGCAGTCTTGCACAGACTCCTTCCACTTATTTGCAACACGTTAATCTTGGCAGTCCCCTCAGCCATCTGCTGGTCGGTTTCCCAAAAAACACTTGCGTAGCCATCCTTTCTGGAGGCATTCACAACACCTGGCCAAGCCATCGCTGCTGTGACTTCTGATTCTAGAGAAGAAAGGCTGTATACCAAGGTTCTCCCGGATGTCAGTATTCCGGAAAATGTCGAGACGTGTAAAGCCAGCGACTCGTCTAAGAAAGCCCATTTCAGCAGCTTGTACCCGGGTTCGAAGCTTTTCAGTTATGGTGCAAGACTCATGACCGTAAGTAGGCATAGGGATAAAGATCGACTTGAACATCGAGAGCCTAATTTTCAGATTGAGCTCTGCTTTAGTCACAGCGGATCGGGCTAGTTCATGCTGAATGCCACTGGCTACTCCGTTCCGCTGATCGATCACTTTCTCAGATTTTCCATTACTAGTACATGCAGTTCCGATGTACTTGAACTTCTCCACCTGCTCTACTGCCTTTCCGTTAATCTGCAGAGAGCAACGGGCAGGAGAACGAGAAAGCACTAGACTTTTCGTTTTAGATGCGTTCACAGCATGCCGGTGACGTGGCACTCGGCTGCGAACTTTCCCAGGGAGCACTCAAGAACAGTTTCAGAACATGCTAATAAAACAAGATCGTCTGCAAACAGCAACCTTCTCGACTTAACATCGCCTATACCGATATCCTCATCGCCTTGGCAGCTCCTGACTATTCTATCCATGTACAACACAAACAATATAGGGGACAGGACGCAGCCTTGGCGGAGACCAGTGCGAACACTGAATGGTTTCGACTTAACGCCATTTACTCGGACGTTTAGAACCTGCTATCAGAATACAGTGATTGGATGGCCCTTAGCAGCTGGCCGTCTATCCGGTGTGCTCGAAGACATGACCACAGACTGCTGCATGGGATCTCGTCATAGGTTTTTATAGGTCGATATAACACGTGTACACCTAACGGGCGTGCTCCCCAATTTCTCAACAATCTGGCGCAAGGCAAATACATGATTAGAGGTGTTTCGACCGGACCGGAAGCCACAGTACTCATCTTGTATCTTGGAGTCAGTTATCAGTTATTCCGCGGCAATCCCTTTTCAGCACCTTGGTGTAGACTTTACCTGGGAGGCTCAATAACGTAATGTCCCTATAATTGAAGCGCTCCTTGTAGTCGCCGTTCTTTGAATACGGATACAATAACTGTCGTTCTCCAGTCCGCTGATGTCTTTTCCGTAGTCATCCCAGTTTGATAGACTCGTGGAAGCCATCACATGCCTTGTTCGCCTAATGCCTTGAGCATTTCAGGGCCGATTTCATCAATTAGCAGCCTTTCCATATTTTCAATCTTTTCACAGCTTGTGCAATTTCATATACGGAGATTGTAATATCCGTTCCCTGCTGTTCTGCAGGCGAGTCTTCCTGCGGTTGCTGGGGGTTAGGAAATTCCTCAGATTACTCCCTTCGTCGCCGTAGAATATCGTTATCCTTGGTAAGATAATGTTCAGACCTGTCCTTCAGCGTGTCCATCAAGACTCTTAGAGTGCCCTTCTTTTTACC